TGCTTTCTTTACAAATCTCACAGAATTGCTTATAGAATAGAATTGAATTGTCTAGGTTGGAAGGGACCTTTAAGATCATCTAAGTCCAACCATCAACCTAACTCTGATTAAAAAAAAACCACAAACCAACAAACCAAAAAACCCAACCCAACCAAACCCCACAACTCATCACTAAACCATGTCTCTAAGCTCTATGTCAACCCATCTTTTAGATACCTCCAGGGATGGTGCCTCAACCACTTCCCGGGGCAGCCCAATCCAATGCTTAATAACCCTTTCAGTGTAAAAAATTTTCCTAATATCCAACCTGAACCTCCCCTGGTGCAACTTGAGGCCATTTCCTCTTGTCCTATACCTGTGAGTTGGGAGAAGAGACCGACCCCTGCACTTCAAGCACTATGACAGTGCTTAAAGCATCAGCTCCCCCACACTGAAGCCTTGTTTATGCTTGAGACTCCACCACTGGAGATGGAACCAGTGGGAACAGCAACCGAAAGGGTTTCCAAAAGGCCAAGCATTTCTCTGCTCCCGGGCCAGTGCTGAGCCCCACTCTGGGCGGGAGCTGGCCCAGCTGACCTCTGGGGTCCCCTCCAACCAGTGTTTTTGTGAAACATTCTACCTGTGAGTTGGGAGAAGAGACCGACCCCTGCACTTCAAGCACTATGACAGTGCTTAAAGCATCAGCTCCCCCACACTGAAGCCTTGTTTATGCTTGAGACTCCACCACTGGAGATGGAACCAGTGGGAACAGCAACCGAAAGGGTTTCCAAAAGGCCAAGCATTTCTCTGCTCCCGGGCCAGTGCTGAGCCCCACTCTGGGCGGGAGCTGGCCCAGCTGACCTCTGGGGTCCCCTCCAACCAGTGTTTTTGTGAAATAGCGTTCACAACTACTCAATCCCAGGCTTTTGGCTAGTAGCAAAGACGCCAGACACAATGCTGACTTTGTCAAATCAGACATTTACAAATTGCATTCGGCCAGAACAGCCCACAGAGGATGCTGAAAAGGTAGGGGGGCTAGGGAAATAAATAGAAAAAGCAAAAAAAAAGCAGAATGGGAAGGGAAAAGAGAGAAGGAAAGGGTGAGAGGGGAGAAAAAGGAGAGAGGGGAGAGAGGGGAAAGGGGAGAGGAAGGAGAAAGGGACAAGAGGGTAAAAGAAAAATCTCAGTCACAGTGTCTCTGAATTACTGCTTTACACCCCCAGATCTGCATGAGACACTGCTGTGGAACTTCCCCGATTGCAGTTTATGATTCTAACTTGGTGATGAGACATTCTAGTCCTTTCCAACAGCACATAAAGACTCCAAATCACATTTAGCAGCTTCTTTTTCTTATAGCAACCATTAACTTTTTTTTCCTACTACTTATCAGTGCTGTGTATGCAGGAAACCGCGTGAGCCATTTTCTTATTTTGCCAAGAACTGAAGCAGCATTTGATTTCACTTTTATGGACTAAAGCTAAAAGATGCTTTCCATAGTAAACTTAAAGACCACATTTCAAGCCTGGCAGCAGCTGGTCTCAGCAGCCAGCACGTCTCACCTAACTACAAGTGTCTAACTGAGACATCACAAGAAGAGAACATTCACAAAGTCAGCTATTGCCATTTGTTAGAGCTTGTGCCCAAGGAAGCCCAGGATGCTCCAGACTGAGGTACCCCTGGTGGGGGCAGACTCTGGAACCATGTAACCACAGGGGGAGGAAGGGAGAAGTTCAGACCAAGGCCAAAGGACACTTCCACATTTACAGACCATGAAAGGCAAGTCACACTGCAGCTTGACCTCGTATACATTGTGCCAACCTTCATCATCACTGTTTCTTTGACACATTTCTTGCCCTTTCCTCCACTGAATTAAACTGCAAGTCCCCTATAAAGTGCCTGAGTATCTACACACCTTGGACCATGATCTGGACTGGCACAGCGGTAGAAACATTTAACAAAATTCAAGCGAGAGAGAAGGTATGGACATTTTTAATTCTTATTTCCCTTGACCACCCTAAATAACTCTGGATAAGAACAAACTGTTTGTACCTACCAGACCTATCATCTATAAATTTCATCTAAAGTGGTGTAATTGTGCAGAGAAATCCACATATGGGACAGTTTGCTTATATATCTCTTTCCAACAGAATTTCCTTTTCACTGCTTTCATCTGTTATTCTACACTAAATCGGAAATTTCTGCAAAATAACTTCAGAATAACGTTCTTGGGCAGCAGAAATCATAACTCATCCCATCATTTCTAATGCTTACACAGAAAAGTCAATGAAATGTGAAAAAAAATGGAAGGGAGAAAGTCTCCTTTGTACTCGATAGCATCAGACCTACCATATTTTAGAACACTCCTGGTACTACTATGTCAATAAAATTGTTAAATGAAGCACAACTGGAGAAGCATGCTATTGTCATTTTTCAGGATTTCTTGAAGGTTTGTCAATAAAGTATTAGAAATTCACTCAAGTCTGAAAACTAAGTTATTTTTACACTCAAATTTGCGGTTTCTACTTTGGAGCTGCAGAACGGGCAGCCAGATAAAGTCACACACCAAAGTCCAAACCTTGCACCTTGCCCCACATCGTGCATGTATATGTAGGGCCACCAAGACTATTTTGATTTCACAGACGTGTCTGCCTTTACAGAGAAAGGAAGTAAAGACATTTTTTCCCAAAACTTGCCTGCAAGCTCAGGTCTTCTTCAGTATTCCTAGCCAAGAAAAAGTATGGCAATTTAATAAAGCATGGAGAAAATCCTACAATGTGACAGATCAGCTACAAAAGCACACACTGAAATGAGGACAACCTTTAAGCCATCAGAATTTTCTTCATGAGACCCGACTCTTTTCTGTGTCATACTCAGCACGCAGATTTTCATTTTTCAGAGCTGTAAGAAATTTGACAAGTAAACCTAATACAGTTAAGAGCATTTTAATCTTTATGCATAATAATCACAAACTCACATTGTACAGGTTTGATAATAATAACTGACAGCTGAATTTGAAGTATACATTTTGTTCCAAAATAGATGCGCATGTAGGTGGATGTGTTGTAGAAATATAATATACTACACGGCTGAGCCTAGATAAGCTGGTGATTCTCAAACGTCAGCATCATCGGCACAAAGTTAGGGTTGAAATCTGCTCTCCTAAATACCTGTTCATCCTTCTTATGACACTTTCTCTAAAGAGCTCAGTGAATAGTAGATAAAATAAGTATCTAATGAGGTACGACAGAAACTCTGATGGGGCTAAACAGCAGAGATCTAAATTCTAATAAATAAATGAAGTAAAACTTTTACTGCCAGCAACTATGTCAAGTTAGCCATAGGAAACTGTAGCTCTGCAGCTGGAGAAGGGCAATATTCTGCAAGCCAGAGGAGCGGTGGAACTCCTCCAGCTTTGATTATTTATGGTGTGATGATGAAGGAACAACTTTCCATGTGAGGAACAGCTTTAAAGTTGAACAGTGAAGCTGAAACAGAGACTTAATGAAAAATCAGAAGGGAACAAAACTACAGCTACAAAACCAGTAACATTCGTTTTAACAATTTAAAAATATAATTTATGTGCAAAGCCAGATGTTAACTTGTCCAGCTTCAAGGTAAACAGCAAACTCCATTCATAACAACCCTTCTGCTGAACAGCAAACACGCACTAGTTAATGTTGCTGTAAATAAGGCTCATTTCATACCTCCAAATGTTATCAAAATGAACACAAATGCAAAACAAACATATTTTAAACAAAGGACACATCTGTATCTAATGCAAAGCTATTTTCAAAAATCCCAAACTTTCGTAATCTACCATAATCGTAATAGCCTGAAACATAAGAATGCTTTCAGCCTCAGAAAAAAAGGCTTCTAATTTTAAACATTTACGAGGACACTGAGAAGTGGCTTAGAACCATGCTTTAAAATCTGTTTTCAGGCTTTAAATTGCTGAAAGCTGAGATCTCTTTACCCATTTGGCTTGGACTAGAGAAAGGGAGAGAAGCACACAAATATGATGAAAAGACTGTACGTGAAAAATTCCATTTAAAAAAAAAATGCAACCCATTCCCTCATCCCGAACCTCCTTCCTCCCATGACTGAAACTCCCCCCCTTTTACAAAAAATGAACGGGAGTGACTCTTCTTGACTGATAAACACCATCAAACAACTCATCTACATCACTGGCTCTGATGCACCACCATTTTTAATAAATACTAGTTGAAAATATTTTCCAAGGACAACTCTGCCATCACTGGTGCTGTTCCCAAACAGGAGGGACTCCATCTCAGAGCTTCATTCATTTTAAACTATACCAAGAAATGGGTGATTTTGCAAAAAAGGTGATTTAATGTCTGTTCTAACTAATGAACATGATCAAACCTTTTAATTTTTTTTTTTTTTTTTTTTCCCCAACACTTAAAATGTGTGCTTTATGCTGGGAACGAACTTCCCTTTGATATATTATATCTATGTGAAGACAGGATTATTCTCACATTTCTGTTTCAGAGAAAGCATCAAGCTGTTTGGTTTTGAAAGTTAAAGGATTAAGTCTGGGGGAAAAAAATGCTTCTAAATGCAAACATACTCTACTAAGTTAAATTTAGTCTCAGTTTGATATGAAACACTGACTTTAAAATTAGCTATACCTTTCCAAATATGCCATACATTCTCCTCCATCTACCCAATGAAAATAAATATGTATATATTGTAGGCATTAAAAGATGGGTGTCTCATACCCACGAATAAGGAGTATTCTTAAAGTAGTTCATCACACAAAAGTAATATATGAAACCAAAGCAACAACCACAAAATATGTATTATTTATAGCCATAGAAAGTAGGAAGGAAGTTGTGAAAATCCACAGGGATTCTTCCATCTTACCAAGCACCTGTACACTTCTGTGAGTGTTTGCCTTTTGTCTTTCATTTTTCTTGGCTCCATTCTTATAGTTTGACTCCAAGTCAAAGCACCATACATGACATTGAAAGAAGAAGAAGAAGAAATGACATTGAAAATTATTAGCTCATCAAAACTGCCTTTAATATTTAAAAACAAAATATGTACACAAATATTGCAACAGCTTCTGGAATCCCACTCAGAAAACCCAACATCTTTAGATCTCTTTTCATGTTCTCGTCACCACAATTTGTGCAAAACAGTGAGAGGCCACACAGGGCATTTTAGGAATGACTCTTTCATCATTGCAATCCCTCAGTTACAGTTTGACCACAAGGAGAAATGAACAGAGTAGGACTGTAGAGACTGTACCAGTTTATTTTTCAGTTTGCCCCTTGATGTGCTCCGACTTCTGCTGAACAGTGATATTGCGGCTTCTTACACTGTCTCCATTATTGCTCCCAAAATAATTCAGAGGTACATAAGGCTTTAAGTAACAGCAGTTTAACACCAGTTTCAAACTAGACTTGACAGTTCAATGACCTTTCCATCAAAACTGAGCTCCAGAACTCCATCTCCTGATAGCCTGAACTGACTTGCCTCCCCGGAGATGTGCTGACATGGTGGCTTCCCGTGCCTGCTCCCCAGCAGGGGACACAGCACACACTATTCCTGCACTACGGGCTGCTACAGCTTTGCATCCTGGTAAGGCAACTCTTACTGGCTCCTGACATTGGAAGGCTAAGGTGCTGCATGCAATTCCTCTAGTGCAGTAAATCTGGCAACACAAGTGAAAAAAACCTCATTGTGTGTACCATAGTGAAGGAACAATTTCCCTTTAAAGCCACAGACTGGGTCAAGTGCAGAGGTACAAAAGCTATTTCCCAAGAGTGTTAGAGGCAGAGTGCTAACGGTGCTGGCAGCAGTGCTGCTGTGTCACAGGAGGTGCAAGGAACATGCTAAAAGTTCACTGTGAATCATGCAGCCTATTGCCGAATGTCAAACTTCCCAGGAGTAACCAACTCAACTACTATTTTAAAAATAAACTTGTTGGTTTTTTTTTTTTCATGAAGTAGTCAAGCTTTGAGGGTTCCACCTTCATGGGTGGCAACTAACTTGTCTTCAACCCAGAGAGTACAGGCAAAAAAAAAGTGTAGATTTTTCACTTTTGCTGTTACCGGGAGAGAATGTAACACCTAAAAAAGACCTGCCAATAACAAACCTGCAAGCAATGAACATGTCTGAAGACACTGAAACAAAGAAAATAAGAATTAAAAACTCTTTAATTACAGATTATAAAGCTCCTCAATGCTGGTTGCATGTATGAACATTTAAATAATTCAGAGAACTGCATGGAAATATCTATTTACCATAAAATCTGGAAACCCATTTGGGATGGAAATTAAAATGAGTCTGGTTTTTTGTTTCATTCAAGATTGAGATTACTTCATATAAACTGATTTATTTCTGTGCATATAGTATAATTTGAAAATCTTTTTCCTTTGTGTTAACCATTAGTATTGATTACTTGCTGCTGCTAAGTTGCTTAAGTATGAATTTTAATTACAGTGTTTCATAATGGGCTTGCATGTACCCATCTGGAAGGACACTGGATATATACATTTTCTATTTAACAAAATAAAGGTTAGCATAATTTAGAAAAACCCCAACAAACTCACCAAACCAACCTCTGAAGTGATACATCTCTTGAGTTAGTTTAGCAACACACCAAAAAACATACACAATTTGGTAAGGTAGTTTTTCATATCATTATAGAGCACAGCTTCAATATTCACCATTATTAGAAAGTTCAATAATTCCTTGTTTTGATAACAAACTAAAAATTGTCCATAAATTGGAAGGGTCTTCACAGTTATGGTGATTCTGCCAATGATTACAAAGATCCTCTTTTCTTTCAAATAACTGTTTGCATAAAATGCAGTTATAGCCTGATTTAGACCAAATTTCTATTTTTTTGCTTGGTGTACCAAAACCTACATTTTGCATGCTGGGTGCTTCACTGCTTCCTGACTGAGTCGGTTCACTTTTAGATAACACATCGACGTTATTTTGATGGTGAAAGTGTATCTGTCTTTTCAGTTTTGGAAAAGTATAAAACTCCTCCTCATGGGTACTGCATTTTGCTGAATGTCTTTTCTCATTGCACTGTTTCCACAACTGGGTTGTGTGTTTGATCAGTTCCCCCTTAGCTCCTCTATTTCCTTCCTTTACTCTTCCCTGGATCTCTTCTCCATGAGAGCACAGTAAGTGAAACTTCATTTCACCAAAAGACTGTGCAATAAACTGGCATCGACCACATTTGATCTGTAATTTCACTTCTCCTGGATTATGGAATAGGTCCTCAAGATTGCACTTATTTCCCCTGTTTAAAAAAGAACATAAAAACTATTTAAGGATTAACCATGCACAAAATAAAGACGGCAATTTCTGTCTTTTAAGTTCAAAGAAGAGATGACATTCATGAAACATTCTTTTAATTAAAAACAGGCACCATTGCTACAGTATCTAATTTATTTGGAACAGAAAAAAGGGAGAGAAATAAAGTAATAATCAGGCTGATTAGAAAACAACTAAACCCAAATGTTATTCGGACACTATTGAGTTTAAGAATTGCCTCCAAAATTAGCCTTGGTAGAAATAATCTTTTATCAACACTAACCTTTTAATAGAATGTTACTACCATTTTTTTAAAGTTCCTGATTTAGTGAGGTCAATCCAAATACTTCTAGCTCTGGGCTAAAAAAGTGAAAATGAGTATTACATGCAGCATACTACTAAAAGAAAGTAACTTGTTTACACTGAGTGATCTAAGGTCAATTTAAGGCAAAACCACATGTCCCACCTCCCACTCCAAGATGGAAACAATGAAACTTCAAAGTTTCTGTTTTTTCCCCTGAAAGTTTGCAAGCCAGTTTTAAACAGTTTAAATTCCTAATTTACAATTGGACAGCCCCTCTCATGCTCTGCAGGATAAAGACACACACAGAGCTAGCAAGTCCCTGTTTTAAGTTAGGCCGATCAAAAGAAAACCTCCACAGAAACCTTCTCACTACGACTACAAAAAGGACCATGTAATACTGTGGATTTATACACATTAGACACATCACCCAACAAAATAGATAAATTAAATTATTTGTTGTAAGAAGTCTAGTAAGGCTGAAAGAAAATCTCTGGTGTTTCTTAGGCTCAATACCTTAAAAATTTCTAACTGATGCCCCAGGGAGTGAAGCTATGAAAAGCAAAATGTATAAAATTAAAGTGTCATAGTGAGGCGTCAGGTTAGAGCCCTGAGCTCGTTAAAGTGTACTTTAATGAAAGTAAATGCAGAGTGGAACAAAACAACAAAAAAGCCAACATTTATACTGTGTCAAGAAATTTCACCTCAAAATCACAATGCAGAGAAAAAAAGAATGTTCTATCCATCTTAATATGGTAAATGTTAACTTTTCTACTTGTCTAAGTGATTGCAAGAGCAGCAGTAATCAACACACAAGACAGATTAGCTCAGAGCGCTCCAGAGAAGGAAATGGGATAATGATATTTAATAGGGTAAACAAACTACAAACTAATACTGAAATATGAATTGCTTTGCACTTATTTGCAGTTGGTTTATTTATCTTGTGAGGAAAACCCAAAATGGGTAGAACAGAGAAGACAGCATAGGTAAACAGAAAAATTGTTAGCTGTGAGAAATCAGCTGATCAAAACAGAGCTGCTGTAAGTACACTGGGTATTATTAGAATATATGCAAAGTTACTTTGGATATTCAGGTGTCAGTAATAATTTGTATTACATAAATCAGCTAAAATATACCAGATGGTCTAATGGATTACTAGATTCCTTAACAAAATATTTAAACCACTAGGAATGTCACTGCGCTGAAAATAAAGATGAGGAAAAAGCAAAAATTTTCAAAACAGTGATGTTTATGAACTTCCACTGACAACCTGAAATCCCGTTTTCATTAGCATTTAATGAGTGAAAACACTCACCTCTCCATTGCTTCTTCTGCTGCTTTTATATTGGTGTCTCTCTTCTTTAAAGCATCTTGCAGATGTTGCTCGCTCGTGGAGGGCTCTGTGCTGATCACAACCCTGTGCACTTCTCTTAGGTGACCGAAATACACCTTTGCATGGCCAAAAACTTTAGCACAGAATTCACAACACACAAGCTTTTTGGGTTTGCCTTCATTGTGATGAAGTTTCATATGTGTGCTCAGGTTTCCAGAGTGAATATACGCTTTCCGGCAAATTCGGCAGCTGTAAGGCCGTTTGTTTGTATGGGTGTTTATATGGTCCTGGAGATGGTGCTTAAACTGGAAGACATGGTTACAAACATAACATTTATACGACAGCTTAGGTAGGGTTGAACACGTATTTCTACTTAAATCACCTGATTTAGCTGATGTAGTGTCACTGTGCTTGTAACTTAAATATTTGTTGGGAAGTGAACTATTTAAAAAAGTATCTCGGTCTAAATGCTCAGGAGATGGTGTCTCTACCACTGCTGCAGAAGTCAGCGGTGCGAGATCCTGCACAACCACCACTGGTTTTGGTCTAATGCTACGGTACTTTTTCACTGCTACTGCCTTTTTTTCTTCAGGTGGCTGAAGATCAACTTTTGCCCTCTCTCTCCCTTCTCTAAACTTATTAATGATGCATTTCCTTCGCTTGGTCTGAAAAGCCAATAAATCATCTGTGGCTCTTCTTTTTCTGCCTCTTCTTTTAGAGGCTGCACTGTTCAATTTTTTAAGACTGTCGACATCCACTTTATTGGATGGAGAGAGGGTATTTTCTTGAATGGTTTGTCTGGGGACTTGTGCAAATGATACAGCTGATCGCTTATCAGATGCGTTAGAAGGAACATGAAAGGGTTTTGCCAAAGCTGGTATCTTTCCGCATTCAGATCTCAGTGAAGGTCCACATACACCTGTAACATTAGTATTCTGCTTAGATTTACAGAACACTGAATTTTTCATCCTTGAGTAAGGCAAAATAGGAAGTTTTCCTTTTGGTGCTGATGGAGTCATCTGTATTGTACTGCCAAAAACTGCCGGTGACAGGACAGCAACAGAATTTGCAGAATTTGTCGGTTTTTCCTTCAGTTTCTCAGATGTTATGAATGGCTCTCTTGTGGTTTCAGACGCTGTCTTCACAGAGTGTAGACTTAGTTTCATGGGACTGATTGTACTTGCCAGCTTGGATAAAGAGTCTTTAACTACAGATGGTCCAGAGACATCACCATTAGCAATTTCAGTTTTGATCACTAAAGGAGATTCCACACAATTGCTCTTATTTACTAACGTGGCAACTGTAATTTCAGCCGAGTCACGGTCTGTTAGCATCACTTGCTCAGTTGAATCTGAACTAAAATGAGTTTCAGCACAGTCTTCAGTTAAAGTAGTCATGGGAGAAGTCTGGGATGAGATCGATGCTCTGGTAGGTATCTCGTTATGTGCACCCAAAACAGAGATTTGTGATGGTTTTTTGTCACTCAGCAATTTACTTCTTACAGGTTGGTACCTAGGGATGGGCAGCTTTAGGTTTTCAGAAGGGGCTACATTCGACTGCTGGACTGGCTGTGTTAGGGCAGGGGCAACATACGGCAAGGCCAATAGAGAAAAGGTCCCCTCATGACCAGCCACCTGCATGACAGCATAGTTTTGAGTTGGTACCACCAGCGGTTTAGAACCTGCAGCTGAAATTGGTGTATTTTGCTCAGGCAAAGATGACTGAAGACAAGAAACCACTCCAGATGTTAAAATTTTTGGTACCATTTTTGGAGCAATTGTCCTAAACTGACTTTTCTTCTGAAAACTTTGTATTATATCCGAAGGAGATTTGTGTTTATCTGTAATAATAACATAACAAAGATGTAATATAATGTATAGCATTTCTCTTTAAAAAATTAATGTATTGAAAATTAAACATCATACAATGGCTACTATTATGCATAACTTATTATAAGTATTAAGGTATTTAAAGGACCACTAAATTAAGTTCAGAATTGCAAAAGTTTCATGGAGAAAACAAAAATACTCACTGAAACAATGTACTTGAATGTAAATGTAAAAAAAACCCCTTCTAATCTAATCTTAAATGGATGTTTCATTCTAGGCTAGAAACTACATGGCATTTAAGAACAAATACACTTATAAGGCCTTTCTGCCCTGGAAAAGCAGTGCTAGCACGCTGGCAATATTCAGCTGGAAGAACTACCAGGGGCAGGATTTAAACTCTATGATGCAGAACTTCTCTGAGCAGATGCTCTGATCATATCTCTCAACCAAAGACATACTATCTTCCAGAGCTTCTGTAACATTTAGAATCTGGGGAGTTTATCAGACACAGACCAAAGCTTACCTGATGAAGTCTTAAAAAAATTACTGCTATAAAACATGCAAATAATGCGTAACAATATCAAAGAGGACTTGAGAGAAAAAGTACCATTATTAAATACCTAATCACACACATTGCTTATGTGCCTTTAATGCACAATAGAATTACTGTAGTAAGTTATTCAAATATTTTCTTGAAAGATGTGATTTATCAAGGTTATATCACAGTTCCTATCTGTTTCTACTTGTGTTGGTAAATGTCACAAACATTTTTAGTAAAGAAGAATGTGAGGATAATTAAGTAAAACAAATAAAAGGAAAAAGGTAAAACATGTAAGATACAATCTGCATTAAGCAGCAGAGATATATGCTGACCTTTCAGACAGTCCATAAAAAAGGATTTGACATATAGTTAATTGTACCATTACCATTTCATATAACCGCCCCATTATCCACTCTCAAATTCAACTACTGATGCTTCCAGTTCTCAAAAACTGGGACAGGTTTTCTGAAGAAGAAAAAATATTTCCCAACAGTCTCAACCACTGAAAATTCAACTACAAAGATACCAAGAAGGCGGCAATTTGGGAAGACAATGTAATAAAAATTCATTTTGAGAGAGGAACCACATTTGAATAGAATATGTAAAAATAAGCACTGGGACCTTGAAATACTGCAATAAGGTAATTTCATGGGGAAGTTTCCATTCGTTATTATTTTAAAGCCTTGTATTATAAATGCGTTTATACACAGTTATGGACTTAAGAGGTAGCTGTGAATTACTACCAACACTGGAAACTCTAGTAAGTTTATCTTAATCCTGGATGTTCTTTTCAGATGTTACACACTTTGCAACACACTGTAAATTACAGAGCTATCACATTTCAAAACCAGAACTCCTAGACAGACGTTTGTACATACTTATGGTATGCACATGTGCAGTAAATCTACTGCCTTCAGGACACACTAGATGCACTGAGCAATCACATATAAACTGTATGGTTCATACACAGTAGGTCTCATGCTTCTCAAGAGGACACTATCATAGAGGAACTATCCTGGGCATAAAACTTTAAACCTTTTATTTCTATGTAAAGCATCAAACCCCAAGTCCATTATGCACCTTCCTGATCCCCCAATTAATGGGCACCACCATAACTTTCTTTCTGCTCAATGTTTGTAAAGATGTCCAGAATTTCTAGACATTCTGTGCAGAGTAGTCTAGTATACATATGGAAATCCTGCCCCAAAATAAAAAGACATCCCTATACACAGGAATAAGTCCATGCCCCCAAAGTTTGTGCAACCTGGAAAAAACAGAAACATGGTAAATTTAAAATTCTGTTTCCCTACAGCCCCTTCCATTCTCCAACAGGCAGCAGCTTGTACTATTTCTCACTAAGAACTTCCATTTTAGCCAAACTACAATGACTACATATATAGAATCTTTCATGTTCTCAATTGCTAATAATACTCAGATTATTTTTTTCTTTCCTGCATGGTATCTTCTCGTTGCTGCTTTTGAGGAAACACTTATAGAGCTTCTAGGAAGTACAATAAAATTATGTAAGATATTGTAACTATTAACCAAACTAGCCCTGAACTTCAATGCTAGTTACAGGTCAAATTGTACAGCTTAAATATGGTGGATGACAGAACAAGTGTAGTTTTCTTTTAGGGTCCAGAGTCTTCTATTATTTTCCAGATCATGCTTGCCATATACTGACATTAAAGACTTTTTCCAAATGAGCAGTTATTCAACTTGCCACAATACTCGACAAAAAGCACTTTCCATTCTCTCTTCAGGTTTGGCTCGCACCTCTCCCTTTTCATTTCAAAATCTCATTCATTGATTTGCAAAAAAGGTTTAGGAAAGCCAGCACTCCAGCAGACTGCTCCCGGTTACACTCCCAGTTATAAGGCATCACTCCCCAACCAATGGCAGCAAATGATGCGACTTCAGGAAAAGATGGAAGTTTTGCTGTGGACATGCCACCTCTACAAAGTGCCGAAACAGCAGCCAAAGCACCACAAAAGAGAGGTAAATTTGAGGTTAGGAAAAAGTATTTGTAGAAATAATACATGACACTAACTTTCAAAGTAAGCGTATGCTTCTCAAACATGTTGACTTGCCTATTGCAAAATTAGGCAATAAAATCACTTCTCTTTAAAGAAAGTCCCTCTGCATATTTTCTCAGCATTCCACAAGAAAGCATCATCATTCTAGAAGCCAAGACCTTAATGAATATTAATCACAAAATGCTCTTTGAAACAGTCTGTTTAGATCAATATCCTTCTTATGCAGTTAACACAATACTAAACATTGATATAACTGTTTGAGAAGGGATTTTTATACAAATGCTCTTTTTCCTGCTAGCATGATTTTATCATAAATACGTCTTCCAGGCAAGCTATGTCAGGTATCAGCCTTTAGTACAACTTATTCCACTCCCCCCAGCTTTACATTAGACAGTTTAGTGCAGAACTATTAATTGCAGTGCCTCTGGTAAGCAAAGAAAACTCAACTCTGTATTTCCTTCCCATCCAACACAGCTGCTGTAGTTAAGCAGCTCAGGCAGTGTCTAAATATAGAGATGGGCTAGATGCAGACTAGCTGTCTGATGATCCTCCAGACTTGGTTAAGATTTCGCTTGTGGACTGGGAAAGCTAATTGGAAGAACCGGTGAAAGACCGTTTAGCATCTTGGATCAGGAAAAAGCAACCAGTCCCCTCGCAGACCGGAGCTCCTACTGACCCCACCCAGAGTGGGCAAGTAGCATTGGTGACCAAAACTATTTTTTCCATTTATACTTGGCGAAAAGGTTCAACAATTTCCTTTGTACACAAAGATCACTACAGTAATTCACGTCTTTGCCACCCTGACACTGAAGGACTTGAATATGCTCTGGCTGTCTGACTACCAGAAGGCCGCTTGGAAACTTAATATACATCTTTCAGGGACATTCTGCTTCTGTTCCATACCTTCTTCCAATTCTGATTCAAAGGATTCTTTTTTGACTTGTCAGTTGTGACCTAAGGAAAAGCCTTCTGCCTATGTAAATCCATTAAGTCTTCCATCTAAGAAGAGGCAATTTCAATTGAGGGAGGATTAGCAATGGCATTTTTGAGGATGGCCCTTGGTTTTAGACGTTCTTTCTACACATCAGTCTACGGGTCCTTCACTGGAAGGGAACAATTTTTACACTTTCTCTAAAATTTTCATAAAGAATAAAGGAAATGAATGAAAACATTAAATTTAGTATCTGAATGACATGAAGCTCATTTTTAACTTCTGTGTTCTCAGTCTTTCAAACAGGCATGGAGTTGGGGCAACAGGTAGACACTCTTAAATAATTAAGCACAAGGTTAAATCAAATGCAATTCAATCCATTTACTTTAAAAGTCTGTTAAAAGATTAATGGTTACCATGCTAGTACTTGCAAGTATCAAATCACTCAGAACCTTGCACGATGTCATAAGCTTTCACCCCTTCTAAATAACTTTAAAATTGTATGGGACTGGACAGTAATACACCAATAAAAAAAAAAATATCAATGATGCATGAAAGTCTCTGACTCAGAAACTATAAAAAGCATCAGAAGAAATTTAATTTTCCCCACTAATCTGGTCTGTTTTGAACATTAAAATAAACCACCAAAATGTGAGAAACCACTGTGTGTCAGCTTTTAAAATAATCCTTGCAGGACCACCTCACTTGTGTAGGTATGTATTTAATTTGTGTATGACTGGATAAGTGACAGAACATAATACCAAAAAAAAAAAAAGGTTCATCTTGGTTGGAAGGAAAGCCAGAATACAGATGAAAAAGATTAATTAAATATTTTATTAAATGCACGTTTACGTTCCCGAGTCTTTTGCTGACTTCGAAAGGAAGAATATCTGTTCTTTGGGAAAGTAAAAAAAAAAACAAACCACAACATCCTAACAGACAAGACTAGATTTATTTCTGTCAATGATAGTTAACGATTCGTTTTACCAAATCTCCATGCACACTAAATACCTGTGGATACTGTCTTTCCAGCACAAGTTTCTTGCTTTTGCTGACCCAGCATACTTTGTTGGAAACAATGTTTCTCTGCAGGATTAGCATGCAAAAAAACACCACCTGCAAAAGTGCTTCAGTCAGTTATAAATAGATCCCAGGACCAAAAAAAAACCAACCCAAACAACCCCCAAAACCAGCAAAACCCAGAAAAAGACAATATAAAACTACAATATAAAACGTTAACTTCCAGTTACTGCATTAAGAAAGCTACTGCTTCTTGCTGTTTGCCATTTTTCTCTCCTCAAAAAATGCTTTAAAATCTAATATATTGCATGCCAAATGCAAAGTGATAGCTTAATAATTGAGTAAAGCTGGTTAATATGGTAAACAGATGGGATGCTTTAGCTTCAGTGTCATGGCAGACAGTCAACAGCACCAAAACAAAAAGCTCAGAAAAATGAAGGTTCAGTAGCTTCACTGAGGCTTTTAAATACAAGGACTAAATTCCATGCTGAATTTTCTATAATACCACACAGATCAGTGGAACTATTCTAGAAAATAGAATTTGGCCTTCTATGTTTAAAACTACTTTTGCCACCCACCTATATGAAGTAAAGTTGGTAATGAAGCCTACAAATCAGGAAAGCCCATCTCTATACATTATAAACATTAATTTGCAGTTGTTCTTATCTTTGCCTAATAATAACTACTTGGGTAGAATGTTCTGTTCCATGTATTTGCTTCAGATAATTTTCTAAAATTAATTTCAACAGAAAATGGTGGCCATCCCCACGTATGTCTGTATTTAATAAATAAATAAATAAATAAATAAAAGAAGAATCTAGTAACACATCCATGCACTACACAAGGACCTTGAGGTTTGACACAGCAATGTCTCTTTCGCCTGTGAAAAGCTGCCCAGATCTGGCAAAGTTGTAAGCTCTTGGCATGTGCTCAATAGACACTTTAAGCAGCTAATTTTTCCAATGATTACATTCTATTGAACGTACTCCTGCTTCAGGGAGCTGGATTTTTCCTAAACCTGTAGCCTTGGGTCCAAACACCCAAACTGGAACAAGGGAAAAACTCTATTTATCTCTATGCTGCTGACCTGAGAGCGTGGAAGAGAAACTAGGAGACATCCAGGGCAAGCAGGAAAAGGACAAGAGGACTAGAAACGAGAGTCAGAAAGCATCCAGGCCAAAGAGTCAGGGTGGGATATGGGAATTAAACGCAGACTGAAGATGGGTAGTGAACATTACTATTACATGTGATTTGGAAAGCAGAAGCAATTTAAGCCACAGGGATAATCCCATATCTTGCATTCCTTACCGTTTTAGAACTTGGAAGTTTTTTTAAGAGTAATATAATTAGGTCTACATAGGAGTCCTTTTGTGCAATTTAAAATAGATTAGAAAAATAAAAAATAAGTGTTCTAATGCAAGATTGGAAAACCACAGTACATCAATCACAAAAATACTAAGATACAGAATGTACAAATAGGCTTAGAATACTATGGGTGGAACAAGATCAGAATAGTTTATTAAAATTCTAAAAGGAAAAACTAGACCTCTTTAAAGCTATATATAATCAATTCTGATTTGAGCATCAACGTGATTTGCTAGTTGTGCACTAAGCATTTTATCATTTAGACAGGTCGTCTTTGCAAGTTTATTATCTTAAGGAACTCGGATGATAGTCCCTTTCAAGAAATTCTGTGAGCAGTGGGATACATCCTGGATTCCTTAATAGTCTCCAAAAGACCCTTCCTAGCCGAAGAGAACATTACAACAACAAAGCTACACAATAAAAATGTTTTTTTGATATTAACCGGACTCCATTAAAACAGACGTTCAACCTTAAAACTTCTAGTGACATTTTTCAGTGTGGGAATAAGCTAAAACTATTTTTGGCATAAACAGTCATTTTGGAGAGATAACTCATAGAGTAATCCAAGATCATGGGTACATAGTTCATACTTACAGAAGTTCTTCAGTTTCCTATCTCATTCAGTCCTTTATTCCTGAAACATCCTTGTTTTACTATTGACCATACATTGATATTCAGTCCTTTATTCCTGAAACATCCTTGTTTCACTATTGACCATACATTGATACCAATAATAAGACAACATTTTGGATTTCTCATTGATTTAGATTTCTCATCATAGATTTTAAATAAACTCTGTAGTTGTGCTGAACATTTACCTCTCTGTATTGTCCCAGAATAAGTAACATCTTAAATACGTATAAAATCCTATTTCTATAGTGGACAAGTGGCCAACAGCTTTGAGGTATCCTTTTTAAGGTCTAATATCATATATATTGGCCACATGTGGGTAAATTAATATTCAAAAGCAACACCTTATATAAAATGTGGGCAATTCAAGGCTTAAAACAACCACTTGTAACAAAAGCCATTTCTGTGCTACTGTATAAAGGAAGTCTTGGAAGTCTTTCCTAAAAGTCAGAACATAACATAAGAGGTTTTTAAACACTCTTTTACAATGAATGTAAAATACATTTATTAGCAGATCCACATGTTTTCTTAACACCTCTCGTGCAGTGATTGTGAACTTTAAAAGCTTTCCATTTTTTTGAAGGCACAGTCTTTCAAGTTATAAGCTACTCATTTCATATTAAGGTTAACATAATTAATAGGTTTAGAGCAGATCAAAACATTTTCAGATCAAGAAATGAAAACCGACATAAAGAGCACTAGACATAAAGCATCTGTAATTATTAATAACTTTTTCCACCTTTACAGCTGAAAATTTTTCTCACTATGGCAATATAAGAACTTGGGAATAAGGTTTATGCAGATAAATCTATGGGCTCAAGATGGTGCCTGGCCTCTGCAACCACACAAATCACTATTAAAGATGAAAACATGGGTTCTTTTCTGTTGAAACATGGAACTTCTGTCTGAGAAAGAGTATTAGATACATCATCAAAGACAGTGTGTTTCAGCTTCTGCTCTGCCTTTGCTAGTTTCAGTGATCAACCATGTCAAACTTCAAGTGGGCATTATCTAGAGACCACATTGCTGCAACAGGATTCGGTTGCATAGAAAGGAAATTTTGGTATTGCTGCAAATCCAGTGGTTTTTCTTTGTCAGTTTTGCCCAGTCAATCTGTTCCACAGAGGATACCATCCCTGGAGATTTGCAAGGCAAGGCTTCAGTGACACAGCCACTTGGGGGAACTAATTGTTCAGAAAATAATTGAAGGGAGGTGATGCTAGCACTGGTCATAAACTCATAATTCATAAACCTTCAATGGCACTGCAAATGTGAATCAGGTATTCTAGAAGGTGGGGACAAACAGAAGATTCAAAAGAAAAGACTGTAATTGGATTTTTAAAAATTATTTTCTGGGACACCTGCCAGTTGAAATTTCTTTTAGTGAGCTTCAAGAAAGATACAGACCTAAACAGTAATTCACTCATTGTGAAGTCAATGTCAATGTCAAGTCCTTTTTAAAAGGTCTATCAAGATCACATCAACCTGGACAAAATCTTGATATGCCTAATATAAGTGGTAATTAATAGACTTATTTTTTCCTTAAGTGCAGGAAACAATAATGACCAGGTCTGCTACAGAATCGAAGACAGAATTCTTCAGAAACTATGCAGCACAAAAAGGTCAAGTAGCACCATTTTATGAATAAATCATGAAGTATTTTCTGCCTAGACTCTTGCTCCCCTCTCATATAAACTGAGAACCTAATCTATCTTCATCTTACTGAGGGTTTGATCATCCACCCTTCCCTCCATGGGACAGAAAGGGACATAAGCCTGATTGCACTAAGGGAATTATGCCTCTTACATCCAAAATTTATTTTTTGCCAATACCAGCGTGCAAAGAGAGCACAACAGAAGAGCAACACTTTTTTTCATGTTAGAGAGTATCGCTTTTTTGTGATGACCAGAGCACACGGTGCTGCGCAGATCCCGCATGCGAGAGAAAACAAGCAATTAATTCGCCACTTTGGCTCAACAGACAAGTATCTTTTACTTGAGGCGTTAAAGGCATCTGCACGGTGACTTCTGGGCTACAAACCTCAGAAAGTGCTCCCTCATTAAAGATGAAGTGAAGATCTGAAAACTGTCAGGCCTGGCCTGGTCTATTTTGTGTCGTCCAGTATGAACCACACAGAGGGTTTATCATTCCCCAAAGGGCCAGAACACATCGCTAAACTTAGATGATTGTTGGAGAGTATTTTCTGAGAGATTTTGTAAATAGGTATTTTTCAAAAGAAACGAGCTAAGTGATCTAACTTTTGAATAGGGAATCTCTAGCCAGGGGCTCTGTTTGCTCTATCTGCTCCCTCTCCTTTCTTCAGGACCCAAATTTCTGCAGAAAAAGGCTATATAGCTCTGGCTGAGATATGCAAAACATTGCCACCTGTAGTCAATTCCACTAAGGATTCAAACAAAAATAAAGATTAGAGGATCTCCAGAGCACTTCAAGTAGAAATGTATACTTTTTCAAAGACAGACACAGCCCTGTAAAGCACCGGAAAACTAAAACATCTTCAGAAAGACTACGGCCCTGGCTAGGAATACATTAGTTTTCAGAACATATAAAAAATTATCACTTGCTGCTAGGCCTCTCTGGCAGTAGGATGTAGCAGAAAATAATTTAAATTGCAGTATCTGAATGCTTGCCTTCCCCCTGTGCATAATTACAATTATTTGCAATGCTTATTGACGTTGTTAAGCTTGCCCATGCTCGCCACCGTATTGATTAAAGGCAGCACCAGTTCTCACAAGAGGTTACTGGACGTGCTGTAAAAGAATTGACGGGAGATACTGCTGAAAAGTGATAATCCAGCAGCGAACACTCGGAAGGGGTGCCAGCATCCGAGGGAACGAGAACAGGAATGCAGTCCACAGGAATGTAGGCCAAAGACGATATCCCTAACCTGCCGTGTGCAGAAATATCAGCAGATTTCTAATTAAAATCATGTGTATCTGCCTGCGCTGGCAGACAAAGGAGCCCCTTGGCGCAGAGTCCAGCAGGGGGAGTCGGGCGCCCGTCACTGTGGCCTCTGGTGCCGGCTGGGGCCCGGAGAGCTGTGCCTTCTTCTAAGTGCCAGGTCCCTTCAGATCTGCGACTCACGTCCACTACCCTACAGTCATCCTTGACCAACAGAAAGGCTAAACTACTTGTCTTAATAATTTTGTAACACTAAATACGACTCCAAGTGAAAAATCCCCAAAGTCATCAATTCCGTTACAGCACCGCACACAACCTCTGAACAACTTCGCAGGTTACATTATCCTTTCAAAATATTCTACCTTTGCAAACTTTTCAGTCAATTCAGTGTTTTGTTTAAACTTGAGAACGCCGTGACAGAAAGCAGCTAAGCCTTCCTGTTAAAAGTAATTACTTCTATTAAACTACTTAGTATCTTCTGTACCAGCAGTACAATTTTTGTGCAAGAGATTTTTTTTTAAATAATCCTTTACTGATTTTGTGTTAATCTACTTAACATCCCAAATAACACGTCCATATTACTAAAAATATCAGTGTTCATAACAGATGTTCTCCTTTTGGTTGACATCTGAAAACGAAGCCCTGTTACCAACATATTTTCCCATCCCAAGCAAAACCCTGAAATCTTTGTCAAACTTTCTTGCTTTCATCATTGCTCAGCTCATCACACAAACCATCTGCATAAATAAAGATGTAAGCATCTGCTGTATGGCAAACGGTCTCAGGGGCAGATGTTTTTATCCTTGCATTCATGTCACTGGCTTGGATACATTATTTGAACAGATGTACACAATCTGAAAGTGTCGTGTCCCACAGTGAAATGTCTCCAACTGCTTTCTATCAAAGTACATAAATGCTATTTGCACCTGCATTTATGTTAATGATATAAAGGCAGCAGGGGTTCCAGCAAAGTGAGAGTTGATGCTAAGAAACACATTTACATGGCTAATTGAAGTCTGAGATCTCCCAGCACCAAATGACCATACTAACATGGATACAAAATGTATTAAACTGCACAATGTTTTTTTTAAAAAACTAGATTTTTTTAAAAAAATAAACATACCCAAGACGCAAAACTATGACTTCAGCCTGTGATATACTTTTCCAATGTACATTTTAAAAAGACAAAAAAGTATTAAATAAATTCCTAGATAAACTAGGACAGTCTTATATTTGGCATAGTAATTGTACAAGAGACACAATTTTTTCAGGTTAGTTTCATTTAACAAAAACATTTTATAAATCTGACAGTGCCTCTCACACAAAGGTATTTCAGTTCTCTAAGGCACACTGGTATTTTATGTCATTACGGAGCACTATAAAAAAACTCAGCACTTGCTCAACAGCAAATATGAACATGGGTGTCAGTGGTAGAATATGCTGCCTCAATGATAATTTCATAATTCCTAGGAAAAAAATAAAAATCTTAAAAGTTAAATATTTATAATCACTCAGAAAGTGCATCTATTTGAACATGGAGTTACAATTGCTTGTTATATAAATGACACTCACCTTTGTTATCAAATATTTTAAATTGAGAAAAACACAGGTGCCCTGAAGGAGTCCATATCAAATTACAGAACTTCTGCTATTACATGACAAATGGTAGCAGTGAAGGGTTTTTGTTGTCACTCAAAGAACTTGCACTAACCAATACTTCCATACTAAACTGAAAAATAACAAGCACTTTCAAAGTGCAGATAAGACTGACAAAAATGCTATACTGAATGTAATTGATGGATAGCTTCTACTTCCAATACCATTTCTTTTCAAACCTTTTATTTGTGAGAAATGTTCCAATGTTATAGTTGTACATAAATCATTATAAATTGCTAATAGCCTCAACATTTTCAAAGTGCCATAACACATTTAAGAAGCAATAGTGATGCGTGAAACGAGGACAAAAAAGAGTGATAGTAAAAGAACACAAAAAAATATACTGAGACTCGTATATTTGTACAATATAATGATTTCACACTAGTATAGCTCTTGGTCAGGATCTGGTTATGATTTCTAATATGAACCCTCACTTCCAAAGTTTACAACATGGCTCTTAAAATTCACTCCTGGTGAAAGTTGATAACAGGATATTGACTAGAATGGATTTCTATTTAGAAAAAAAGTCTTCAAAAAAAATCTCAAAGCAAATGATTCATCAGTTTCAAGTTTGCAAACAGCTTCACAGTCTATATTGTCTTCCTGTTATTCAGAAATGGCTTTAACATAAACGTAACACATTCAATTTGAGTACAACAGTGGTCAAATTCCTGTTTTTTAAAGGAGAAATTAAATTAAGGGTTTTAAGTATTAGAATTAAGTATTCCAGTCATAAGCATACAGACGTAGAGCACACTGCAGGGTGGATAGCTTTACACAACAGTGAGTACTGTCTTCCTTGAAAGAATAGTCCCATTAGACACAGAACTCATCAACTAAGATCAATTTGCATGACATCCTCCTGGAACAGCTTCCTCAGAATTATTACAGTATCATAAAAATACTCCTCACAAAACAGGTAAAGTATAAACTTACATGACAGTAAAAGCTCAAGGCTTCAAGTTAAGTAATATATAGTGCTTTTCGTAATTAACATAAGTACTAACAATGGAAACTTAACTGACAGCCTGCAAGGGTTCTGAGAGGTCCATTAGAGCTTATGTCATATCCATCAACCATTCATTCACATTTAAGAAGTATCATTAAAAATGACATTCAAGTTAACAATCATATTTAAACATTAGAATTGTGACACAGATCAAAAGGGAAAGGAAATTAAAGTTACGGCTGCACACCTAGAAGCTTGGGAATACACAGTTGCAGCACAAATACCCTAACTAATAACAGAGAGAAAAATTTAAGACACTAACCCTACTGAAAAAAAAATCAACAAAAGACAACTTTTGAAGAGACAATACATACAAGAAAGATAGTTAAACACAAAAAATATTAGTAAGGATAACAATGCTGAAGAAAAGGCACTAAAAATACAAGTTTATATTTAGAAAACCATGGACTCATAGAATGGTTAGAGTTGGAAGGGACCTTGAAGATCACCTAGTTCCAACCCCCCTGCCATGGGCAGAGCCATCTTCTACTAGACCAGGCTGCTCAAAGCCCCATCCAGCCTGGTCTTGAACACTTCCAGTATGAACACTTCCCTCCACAACTTCTCTGGGCAACCTGTTCCAGCATCTCATCACCCTCAGAATAAAGAATTTCTTCCTAACATATCTTCCTAAACATTTATTTTGTTGTGTTTTGCTAGTCTTGTAGCATAAATTGCAAATAGATTTGACCCCCAATTATGTGGCAGTCAAATATGACAATGATTTTCAAATATAAGAGTATTAAAAAAATTGGAATAAACCCTGAACACTTAATTCTGCTGAATCAGACAAGAAGCAGATTTACATATTTCATGTTTCAACTACAGGTCATAACAGTAATTAGCAATGTCCTAAAGAAGAAAATAATCTTAGCTATTGTAATTGTTTGAAGTGATAAATACCACAGTACAACAGCTTCTTTTTTAAAAAATCCTATTAGAGTAGAATAGCAGACACAAATAATACAGTGATTTATTAATGAGGATATTCTTCCACATTTTGAATCACAAGCCTCTAATTTCTCCAAAAAAAGTACAGAAAGTATACTATACCTGCAGAAAAAGTTAAAGGATTCTGCATTATGCCCTTGTATAGTTACGACAATGTTCCTGGAAAGAAGAAATACAGATACTTAGAAATTCTGATAATTTTTCATCAACTAAAAAAAATACAGGATAATGGCAATAGTTTTCCAAAATTGTATTTCAGAATGGATCCTAGTATGCCCATACCTCATGCAAAACACCACTGGAGTTTTAAACCAAGTGTTTCTCTGGATCACGCATACCCTAATACTCACTCTCCACTTTTCAACACAGTATAACTAACTTAGGTTTCTTGTAACTGAAAACCCCTGTTAAAGCCAAAAAAGAGGACTTGTCTGAATCCAATGCATGCTGAAGAATCACAGACAATGTAGGGTTTACCTTCAAACATGTGAACTGCATGGATACCATATAACTGACTGACAAGCAGAATCTTCCATGGCTGCTACAATGAAGATAGCAGCTTGCATTTGGGAAGCAAACATTACGCTGTCACCTCGCCTGAATTTCATGTTGATACTTATCACAAAATTTGATGCTTAGTGCTTGACAAAAAATACCATTACATCAAATGGCTAATCAGTAACTTAAGAGTGGACTATTTCTCTCCAGAGCAGTCAGTGTTGCTTAAGCTTTGTTTAAGTGTGATTCAGCAGTCAAGTAAAGAAAGACACAGCATAATACAGTGACAAAACAAAATTCTGTTATCAGCCACAGATTTTCTTTATCATAAAATAGTCTAGCTTTTGGAATGACCATGTAATGGTTTGGTTCAGCTGAACACCATTAACATGTTAAGAATCACACAGGGTATAAATCTCTTGTTCTCCTGATGCAGGCTTTGGGAAGGTAACAGACAAGGCCATTGACTGACACAGATGCAGCTCCAGCTACTTGGGGGTTTACTTGGATCTAGTCTTTCACACCAGTGCATATCTATACCATTTCCCATGAGCAGAGCCAGCTGTGCGGATGTGGAGTTTGCTTACTTTCCTGGCCAATTTAACAGCTGGTAGGATCTGACATACGGAACATTCCAGACATGCACTCAAGAGCACTCTTCTGAGCACTGAAGTACCAAAAGACCGGGTTTGGATAAATACAAAAAGAATTAGGACAGATTTTGATGCAATTATCAATCACAAAAATAAGTCTGGAATATATTTCTTTATACGATGCAATTGACTCTCAAAAAAGCTATGGAGAGGTTCTGGGGAGGAGACGGTTATGTGGGCAGCAGTGAAGTATAAAAGAGGCAAAACCAATTCCATCTCCAGGAAGTTCAATAGCGAAGCATAAAGGAAAACGGAGTGGGACTGCTGTGAGGAGACCTCCCACATGGCAAATAGGTGATGTGCTGAGCCATGGGTAACGAGAAGCTCTTGTATGTCAACCAGCACCTGCTGGCACAGGTTTGCCGTGGAGCAGCAGATCCCTGGCTGCCTCCAAGAGCCTCTGTCCGTGGTACTTACGCTGTCAACCGCTGGTCGGTCAGACCCAGGGCACAAAATGATGTGGGCTCATCTAAACCTAGTTTCATGTCATGGTAACATATAGACAACTCACTCTTAACCTACAAGAACGGAACAGACCACATTGATGTGATTTCGGAATGGCAAAACACTTCAAGGAACCTTTTCAACTTGTCACCCACAGCTGTAAGACATCCTTCTTTCAGGCCGTATTGCTCAACAAGGTCTTTTTACAGAAACAAAGTCAGAAGTTTTTCTTCCACTTTGGGATTTACAAGTCTTGAAAACATACTGAGGAAGCTACAGCAATGTTTACTCTTGTAAAAAAAAAAAAAAAAAGTAAGAAATTATGTTCAAATGACAGTTCTCAAAGTTAGTATTTTGAAATTTTACTTTTATAGGTTTTCATGGTCCCTCCCAGTTGTAGGAATTACTAAATAATTTTAAAGGGTGCCTCACTTCCTGCTACTGCTTCCTCTTAGAACTATAGCAAACAAACCAGACTTCAGGATACAGAACGATAATTCTTAGAATACCACGTGGAATTACAAGCTCCACATCTTCTTCCAAGCATTCACAAACCCTAGCGCTAGGACAGAAAACTGGACCATACAAATCCAAACATTTTGTACAGGTATCTTTGATTTGAATTCAACTCTAACTGCAGTAAGATAATGGTTTTGATCTAGAAAATCTGGTGCTTATTTGACAGGCTAGTACCCTGATCAGCTACTGTCAATAAAAAAAAATAATTCTCAAATTAACTTTTCATCTTCTAGCCATTCATGAATATTTTTGATTGTTGTTATACTGAAGAACTTTTCACTGCCCTTTACTTTTGCAGATATTTGATTGAGTAACCTTCCATTTTGGAAAAACTGAATAGCTCAAGATTTTGAAGTCAGTGCAAGCTGCTGCTTACCATCCCTTCAAATTTTTCTATCCATTGCTGTATGTATGCCTGTGTTAAAGCATGTTTTCATGTCTTCCTTGAATACCAATGCCAAAGCAAACTACATAACTTTGTATGTCTGTCCTGTCTGCACTCTACATATTTTCAAATTTATCAACAGTGATACTGTCTTTTTCATCACTGCCTAGTGCTACTCTTGGAACCAGTCCCACCACAACTTTACTACAGGTACAATGATTCATGTTCCTTTCTCACTGAAAGTTTCTGATGTCCTTCAGCCAACTTTTAATAGGTTTATCTGATATTTAATATCTACATACAGGTGATGCACATCCTAAACATAAAATGCAGTCTTATCAAAAAGTTCTGAAATTCTGAGTCAATGCACAGTACAGAAGTTAAAGGATATAACGTCCATGCAACTACCGTACCTGCCCTCAGCAGAATTTTTTTTTTTTTCATTTGACTATAAATCTGGTTTGGCATGACTACCTCCCCCCCAAAAATGCTGATATTCAAAAATGTTGATATTGATGTTCATGACCAACCTTAGAAATAAAACTAACTAAATTTTGCACCTGTTTTACACTCTCATGTCCAGAACAAATTTTACGTTGGACACCACTAGTAATTCAGGATGTCCTGTTGTTTTTATTGAACACTGAGGAGACAAATGTTCTTACAGTCTTCCTTCATTGTAGTCAAGTCCAATACTGGTTCTTTCCAAATACAGAAGATTATATTGATTATTTCTATCTGGCATATCAACAAATTTTCTTCACCTGATAGCCTCTGCAAATGATAAAACTTTTAAAATGCTATATAATCTTAAAATCTGTTTTGTTCAGTTTGTAATTCTACCATAGGACAATAAATAAAATCAGTCAAGCCACAGTACTTCAGAACTCAAAACAGTTCTCTTGAAATCTGCTGCTGACTGGTTAAATAGTTGAAAAGAAAATTATTACAAGAATTTCAAATGAAGTGGAGTTGAGGTTGGACAGAATTAAAAAGTAGAATGCTATAAAATAAGCTCTATCATGCCTATACTACTTCTTATGTTACCACAGAGTGAAAGGATAAACGAATTTTCAACCAGAAGCAGCAAAAATATCAAATAAACTGGAAAAAAACTACACTGTAAATTGATCTTCAGCAATCAAAGGAAGCGGAGCCTATACATGTAATAATTTGAAAGCAATTTTCACAGAAAAATACCCACAGGTCTTTTATATGATATTGATGTCCTGACAGACACACTGAATCTGAATATCAGGTGAACCCAATTAACCTAATTTGATGCTTGTCCATACTAAGACATTTATTTTAGATGTTACATAAAATCCTTTAGGATACTACACAGAAAACGATAAATAGGCTGTAAAGGTTATGACATTAATTTTACTGTCATTCTCATGCTTTAAGCAGGCATCAAAACTAAAAACCTCATCCTCTGGGAAGGAAGAACTATCTGAAAGTAATTACAGTATTCATTATCATAACAGTATTAAACTAAACCACTATGACCCTAACTGAATTTATTTTTGGTACCTTTTGTTAAAAGAACAAAGCTTCTCAATGACAACTGCACCTTCTAATGCAGTGAACATTAGTTCAGGTACTGGAAGAAAGCATTAAATCAAATCTTATAATTTCATATTAAGCTTAATTATGAATTTTAATTTAAAACTAGGCATGTAAAGAAGTGTTACTTAAATATTATGTATTTTCATTTCAGAAGGAAAACATTCAGCTAAAAAGAAAAATTTAACACTTAGTACAGTTTAGAAAGGACGTTCTAACAGAAGCCCATGAAATTTCAATTTTTATTTAAAAAGCAATTTTATTACCTTCATTTTTCACACCGGTTCTTTCACGTACTGTGCCATTCTGTAAATGACAGTGCCACACAACCATTATTTTCCAAAATCTAGAAACTTTTCAACAGAAACCAAGTTCTCCAAAAAGCATGAATGATTCATATCAGCATAACTTCCAGGAAAGTTAGCAAAATTCATTGGTATTTAAAGGCTGAGTTAGACTTCAAATAAATGATTAAAACATTGAAGCTATGTAAAAATACTGAGGAAGCTAAAAATGACAAAGATTGACTAGTGTAACACACAAAGGCATTTGTTCAAGCAAGTCTATTTGCCAAAAGCCTGCAGTGCTTGGCTACTTTATAAAATCAAGCACAAGGCATTAAGCCAATTTGTTTAAAAAATTAAAACAAACAAACAAACAAACAAACAAAAAACCCAAGAAAACCAACCTCTCCAAAAGCCCAAACCCCAATAATCAAGCAATAGCTGATTTGCATTTTTGAAAGCCTGCAAAAATATTCTGCATTTCACTATACAAATCTTCAGGTGCAGAAGTCTGATCTATTCTTATTCTAAAATTTTTATTTTAAATCTTATCTTCGCTCTAGAATTTCATCCTACATCAGTAGATCCTCACCCTCCTATTCTATATCCAAAGAGATACGCATGTAGTCACAAACAACAGCTTTCTTACAAGAGAAATTACACACTGCTTATGCTTCCATACTTAGGTAATTAATCTGGGAGAAATGTGTCTCCGTGGCAGAATTCTTTTTGGCTGAGCCCATTAGGTGACTTCAGCAGACAGCCAAAAAGAAACAGAAGCCTCATGGCAACTGGTCACTTTTCCCAGTA